AGAACTTACAAAAGTCACAAATACTTACTCCTCCTCCATTGGTCTGGCCCCTGAATCTGGCAACACTTCCGTGTGTGAAGAGTCCATTATATCCTAAAATAAGGAAAATTCAGGAGATGAAATAGAGTTGCAACGCAAAATCTCATAATCCAAAATAACAAACAATTAAGGAAATAATAAGGGCGAACCTCATCAAAAGTGATTGCTATGTAATAATCCATACTACCAGGAATTTGATCTGCACAGTAAATAGCATTATAGACAAGAGATCAATACTTAAGCGTACCACTATTAAAATAAAGATGAATAAAATATCCATCCATTTCTGTGACCTGTTAGAGTGATATCTTCTCGACTCCTCATGTGGATATCCTCCACCCTGGGACAGAAATCCATGAGTCATGTAATGATTTTAGAAGTACAAATAAATTGGAAGAAACTGAACAAAACCATACTCGTCATCTACTCCATCCAAGATCACAGCATCAAGATCAAATGTCTCTGGCAGTGTGATTGAATGAAATGGTGCCTTCCTTGCATCCTCTGGTAAAGTAAGTTGAATAGAAGCAAATGCCTTGCTGAGACCAGTCAAAACAGCATTACAGTCTTGAAAAAGATAATCAACTTTCTTTGAATATATCCGAACAACGCCTAAAAGAAGATGGCCTGACATTCTCAAGGCGATGGGAACTTCAGGTTCCATAATACGTCCTAAAAGAGACATACAAGAAAAAGGAATATTCAGTCAAATTCAGGACCAGGACCATGACATAGATTCTGAATCAAAAAGTACATATTATTTCAATCCAAGAAACACGAGACTCGTGAAAGCCAGTGTCACAATTTTAATATTCACTAAATTATATATCATTGATATCACACATGATGTACAAGTACAAACAAAATTAACAATTCTTATTAAATATATTTTTTTAAGTACCTCTAAATGAAAAATGGATTAGGAACCGAAAAAACAGTCCAGTGATTAGGTTAAAAAATCACTTTCAGCTTCATCGGTATCAAACTCGCGTTTTACTGTCCCATGGATAAAAGAAACACAAGCAATATCAACATACAAACTTGTTAATTAGAACAACAGAACAAGCTTGAAGAGCACAAAGTGATAGCATGGCAAAGATATGGCCCGCGAAGTTAGAGCAATTACTGTTAGATAGATATGGGGAAATAAGGTGTAAAGAAGTCAAAGCCTCATAGAGGTGTTCTATTTAGCTATTGGATCAGGAGCTATGTGACATTATGCTTGCATTTTCAAAAAAACCATGTTTTCCCCAGCAATACAAGGCAGAACTTTCTACTTGCTTATAATTGGAAGTCAAACTTAGTATTTTCAGGTGGTCGCATTGCCTAAGGACCTTAGTGTGTTGATGATTTCCGTGCTTTTATTTGTACTACAATTTCTTTTGAGCTTCAATCAAGAACAGAAAAAACAAGAAATATCTACAAAGTGGGTACTACGTCTACGACCATGGGAGAATGACTCTGTTAAGAAACCTAAGATGAAAATAGAACAATAAAGGGAAAACCTATTTCAATCAAATTAAGTGTTGAACAAAGAGATGACAAAATAATAGTTGGCGTAGCATCAGGGCAGGGCGACACAACATTCTTTTCACATTGTCTTAGGTGCGTTTGGCTGGAAGGATTTGAAAGGAAGGGGAATTCACCTCAGTTTTGTTAAAAAAAAATAAAAAGAGCTTCCAAACAAGAACAGGGGTATTTTGGATGATCTTAAAGTCCCTCCCCTTGCCTCCAAACATCATCCATATGCCCACAGCATCATTCACACAATGACTAAAAATCCAAATGACTACGAAAGGAAGCAAATTATAACCCATTACCTCACGTTATCCCAGCAAAAAGTAGTAAATTATCAAGAAATGCCCAAAACTCATCATCAGGAGAGAAGAAAACAAACTAAATTGAAAGAGTAATTCAGATAGAAACCCTCCAGCCGAAATTCAAATAGAACTCGGAAAGTTTTATTCATAAAAGAACGAATTGACGAAGATTATCAAGAGTCGCATCTCCAATCAAGAAGGATGGGGAAAATAGCCAAATTGGAAGATAAACTAAAGCAAAAACCGCACTTCCAAAACCCAAATGAAAGATGGAAACTTTATCCATAATGGAATATAATTTTAACCTGTATGCCAGAAAATTCACAAAAGAAACATGCTTTTCAGAAAAAGGAAGATGATTTCACTTACTGACAGTGGAGGGTATATCAGTTGAAGTGTAATGAGACTTCCGAAGCCTGTGCTGCAAATGCGCAGCAATCCACACTGTGGCCAATGGCCCCTTTCGTGCAAGAAACGTATGCGAATAAAACATGCTTCTCTCTGAGACACCGAGAAACAGATGCAGAAAGAACCTTGAACGGAGGATTCACAATTATTGACAACTTCCCTGTTAGGCCCCCTAAAAGTTAAAAATTTGCACATTTATATTCCTTCCAGCAATTTCGTTATAACTGCAGTTTTCTTTTGCTGTTTAGCATTAAAAAAAGGAAAACCCACAAATAGAAGAACAAACGGGACAAGCTAGTTGGAGAGCGACCGATAAAACATAGCAGCAAAGAAAAAAATCACAACAGAAAAAATCGTACCTAGCAACACAGGAAAATAAAAAATCAGAAAAATCTCACCTTTGATGAAATTTGTGCGGTGGTGCCAGGAAGAGAGGTGACCGGAGAGAGTAGACGAGCTAGAGCGTGAGGGCTTTGTTAGTCCTAAGATGTTGAAGGTTCATAAAAATGAGATTTTTCATTTTTGGCGCGGGAAATTAGAAAATGGCGCCAATAGAGTACTGAGGAAGCCAGATATGGCCTGGTCACGTCCCGCACGTATTCATTAATCATTAAAGTACCACCTCGTTTGCTCCGAAATTTACAAAACTGCCATTTTTTCGCTGGAATTTATGGTTCTGAAATTAATGTTTGGGCTGGATTATGTGGATGAGAGGAAGTTAGAGCGAGGCCCGGTTTGAAATTCATATTGCCCAAAAGACGAAATTTATCGTATTTATTTTATTTTTATTTTTACTAATATTAAGAGCAAGATTAATATTTAGTATTTATAAATCATAGGAGTACAATATTATTTTTTTTTATTTTTAGAAAATTATTTCTTAATTTAATGTGATGCCAAATATGAATAGAAGGAAACTCCGGGAGTGTTTCTCATACCAAGTGACATCTCCTCTTTCTTTTCTGTTTATAGTTATTGATATGTACTTCCTCCACCTTTAAATATAAGTTTTAATATTGAAAAGCACACGAACTAATGAAGTATTAAAATCTATGTATTATGTTTGACCCAAAAAAAATCTATGCATTATGTAAAGGTTAATTTTTTTCTTTTATATTTAGTCCCATTTAAGGACATGGAAAATAATGTACCTACTTGTAAAAATTTAAGGGTGGACAGGAAATTTATATTTTCTATAAGGGGTATTTTTTCAAAAGACAATTAATTATGCTTGAAATTTGCGTTAAGACTTATATTTAGTGACAAAAAGAAAATGAAAATCAAATGATATAATCATATATAATTTTGTGGAAAACAAAATATAGTAAAAACTAGAAATTTCTCCCCGTGCGATACACAGATTAGCATATTTGATTAGATTTAAAATTATGATAAATTACATTATCTATTATAGCTCAAGATCTACTTTTTATAGGAGTATGATTTTTTTATTCATTCAAATAGAATTTGAATTAGAAATGCGAAAATTTAGGAAGAATCCATGAAAATCTAAAATTATTTATTTATTTTTAATATAGTAAAAACTAGAAATTTCTCCCCGTGCGATACACGGATTAGCATATTGATTAGATTTAAAATTATAATAAATTACATTATCTATTATAGCTCAAGATCTATTTTTAATAGGAGTATGATTTTTTTAAAGAATCGATGAAATTTTAAAATTATTTATTTATTCTTCATTTAAAGCTCCAATTAACATACTATTTAATTATGATACTCTATATTTAACGCAATATATTCAAATTCTAATTAAGGTATTATTCAAATTTAAATTTAATTATTAATTTCTTTATTTAAACCTCTAATTGAATTTCATTTATTTATAATGTTTCTTATTTAATTCAGTATATTCAAATTTGAATTAATATGTTATTCAAATATCATTAATTGAATATATTCGGATTCAATAATGTTATATCTTACCCATTTTCAAATGAATTGGGTATTATAAGTTTTTAAGAATATAATGATTGATTGTTTGATGATTGATTGATTGGTATAAGACACAATTATATACACAATAAATATTAAATATTGAGTCCTAAAGGCGCTCCGGCAATTCCATGCTAAGTCCTAAAATATTGTGAAGTGATCTCTGAAGAAATAATTACAATTAATAAAACTCTGTAAACAAATAATTCCAAAATCTCCGGTTTTAAAACCGTCGCCCATGCATATAATTTTGGAATGTTTTATTCTTGCTGAATATTTTATTTTCAATTATAAAATTAATAGATAAATTAAATATGAAACATCACAGTAAATACCAAACATTTTTTCTGGCCAATTTAAATACCAGACGGTTAGGACTACTTTTTGTATAGAGCGTTTTATTAGATGTTTTTATTCAAAATGAAAAAAAAAAAACTATTTTTGCCACATTTTTCAGTTTGTGAAAATAAACGGTTGCTCATTCACACATATGGATTTGGCTTTTACCATTTGCACTCTTCATCTCTTCTGCTCCCCTTTCTTCAATCGGCTCTGGAACAATGAAGCTTTCTTCTTCAATTATTTTTAATTCCATATCTTTTTTAAGTTTTCTTGATCCCATGATCCCATATCTTGTTTCTTTTGTATCACTGTTATGCTTCTCCATTGCAAGATCTGAACTGAGATTTCATTTTGTATTAAAAAAATATTGTCAATTAAAGCATCAAACTTCGACCTGCTGTGAGTCTCATCCCATTTCAGCAATACAAGTAAAAATCACATCAAATATTGCATAAAACTCCATCTCAGAAGCTCACACAAAATACAGATTCCAAAACTTGCACGTCAGTCAAGGGGTCAAGTTCAAGCCAATTACAATATTTGTTCAAGTCAAATAGAGGAACTAAATACATTCATAACTCAACAGGACCTGCCATATTACACAGTACGGATGAAAAGAAGCAACACAATTACAAGCAATTAGTGAGCTCCCCAAAACCTGAACTACAGAATTTCTTCCGACAGAAGCATTCAACTCTCCCTTTTTTCCCTTTTTGGAGGAACTTGACACCTGAAAAGATGGGGTTTAAGCTAGACAAGAAATGGGACTGATGTATGATGGCTTCTATTTCATACAAAGCCTTTACTGGTTCCAACTAGAGGATATGAAGTCAAGCAAGCTTCCAGGTTACCGCTTTTGAATGTTTATGCCTTGTTCACTCGAATTCGCTGCCCTTCTAAGAGCTGCAGTCAACAGGATTTCAGACATGTTAGTGTCCTCATCAGAGTCAACAGGTAACTCAGAAAGCCAACTAACTACTCAGAAGTTCCCATCATCCTTATCAGAGTCAGCAGCCAAATTATTTCCAAAAATCTAGTCTATTATCAGGTTTTTAAGAGACTCACTACCAAGTGTAAAATATTTTAAAAAAGTCACAGTCGTAAATAACATTTTAATAACAACTTCCCAAAAACTTAAGGTGTCTTTGCAGAATCATTAAAAGAGGTGTTGCTGCTTCACAAATATTGCTTCAGAAACTGTTACCTAAACACACTATTAGTAGCGATTTCCTTAAAACCTAATTTATGAAAATAGTTAAGATTTTTAAAGTCTTTAATCTAATTATTTTACATTTGGGTCCTCAGGTGTAATTTTCCCGTTGAACAATGTGAGGAAAAGAGTCAGAACACGCAGAATGAAGCAGTGTTCAACGTCTGTCCAACCCAAAAACACAAGTTTTGTTTTATCTCACATGGACAAATGTGTGCCCCTACTGATACCAGAAGCATGTAATGATATGCTAACACGCCTGGAAATAGGTGTGTCCAAATTCATAGTTCAGATAAATTTATGAACTACATATAAAATCAAGTTCGATGAAATTTATAGACCAGGTGTGATATTTTCTTCCACCCATATCTGGTTAAAAACTATCATAGTAAATTTGTAAACATTTTCCATCACAGGAAGCAAGAAAAGGAGGAGGACTCCATTCTGTGTATATAATCTATGGTTTCACTTTTTCGGCACATATGGACTTCCAAACTTGCAAATGAACAACTTACAGAATTGTTGAAAGATGAGATAGCAGCTTCAACATCCTCAGCTGAAGAAAATGAGACAAAACCAAAACCACTGGATTTTGAGGTCCCAGGAACACGTGAAACCTTGGCACTAAGAACATTTCCATTCGAAGAAAAGAAGTCCTTCAGTAAATCTGTTGTTACTGTTTTTGCAAGATTTCCTACATATACTTTGTGGGGACTGTCGACAAATTCAGATTCCTCTGCCTGGAGAATAGATAGATCAACTGTTTGCAAAGGTTTTTCTGTTATATTTACTTTGATTTCACGTCCTCCGATTTCCTACCACCAAAACATGAAGTATGTGAGTACTCAATCGTAAAATGACTGTTCGGAATCGTTTGATCTAATTTTATAAGTGCCATCAATATGAAGGTCAATTACAGTGCCATTTAGCTTCTCAATTACTGCATTTGCATCCTCAACCGTCTTCATTGTAACAAATGCAAAGCGACGACTCCTTCCAGAGTATTTGTCATACATAACCTATTGATCAGAGTACCATAAAAATAAAAGGTTAATGGCATGTTATAAATGCAGATTCTATACATTTTGCAAGGATACAAATAATTCATCCATTGGCACGTTATAAATAAAAAGCCCCATATTCATAGCACTCATATTTATATCTGCACTTGTAAGAGTAATGATTCAGCCTTACATTATCGCACATGAAGCCTCACACAAGTTTGTTAATAAAGGAGGAAAATTTCAACCATTACCAAGGGGAAAAACTGTAGAGAAAGCAGTAAGTTGTTGCATTTAGGTTTACAGTCATATTCCAATCACACTTCTGACCAAAAAAACGAGGCCTCGTTTGATTGCACCACGGAAAAGACAAATCCTTTCTATTGGACCAAAAAAAAAGAAGGAAATATGTAAGGTCTACCGTACTCATATTACCATTAATCAAAAGTCGTTGTCATTTACACAACAATTTTCATCGAAGGATACAAAGGATATTTCTCATCTACAAAGTCATTTATTTCATTCTATATTTGTTTCTATGTCATTCCAGTTTACACTCTGGATTGCCCCTTGGAAAGTACAATGTTATTAATGATGCCTCACAGACTAGTAGTATCATAATACCAGTGTAGAGCTGTATGTTATTGGTCATGGGTGAAAGATCACCCTGCTTAGAAGTCAAATGCCCTTTTTTATCCTGCAATTCTTAAACAGTTTCTGGTATGATTTATAAAAGGTGCTCCAAGGCGTGACTGATTCCATAAGGATCTAGAAAGATGCAGTTTACAAGATGAAGAAGGCAACAGACAGCTAACGGGAAGAAACCATTTTCTAGCTGTTTTCTCATGATGCTTGTGAGATTGTACCCTGTGGCACTTTTTCCAAATCCTAATATCACTGCAAGTCCAGCATGTTTGTTAATATCATGATAAGATACCAATTCTCAACAACAATCTGTACATTAAACAGTGAACACGCCTCATGTTTTAAAAACCACTGTTGTCAAATTAGGAAGTCAGATGTATGCCCAGCAGCTCACGCAATCAGACTTCTGAAAAATCTTCGGACTAATAACGTGAAAATAACCAAGGAAAGAGGAACAAATGTCATTTTTATCAACGAAATAACTTGTACAGTTCTATTTTACATTCTATTTCATTTCATTTTAATAGGTGCCTCAACTTCTACACAAGTAGAGACACACCACATACAGATCATATCTACTTCAGTCTTCAATTCACCCAAAATTCCTTTTAAAGACCACCGTTTTCCAAACCCATTTAAACAGCCCAAAACCCATATGCATTCTCCTCATTAAACCAAACTCCAAATCACAATTCAGCGGCAAAATTGGATATGCAAAGACAAAGAAGTTAAAAATTCAACTACCTCTGCCCTCTCAACAGAACCATGCTCTTCAACTATCCGGGTAAGCTCATTGTTATCAATATTGCGTGGAATGTTCCCAATATAGAGCTTCCTTGCGGCATCGGATTTCGGGTCCGGTGAAGTGACCACGGTTTCTTCTGCAACAGCAAAGGGTGTCCGAAAGTGTCTATGAGTTGTAACTACCAGAGAAGGCGTCGATTTGACAAAGGTTTGTGAATAGACCGATTTCAGAAGGTGACTAGAGAATCTTGAAGAAGTTGAAATGGATTTTGTAGTGTGATTGGAAAGAAGATGGGGTGGTGAGAAAAGGGAAGAGGATAAAGCCATTGCTTTGATTGAAGAGTGGAAAGGGATGACGAAGAAGCGAGAGGCTTTTGAAGCAACAGAAGAGAACTGGAGGTGGATTTATCTCGTTATCTTCTTCGTGGAAAGTACCCTGGAGTTGGCAGGGAGATAACAAAATTTGGCGACATTTTTTTTTTTTTAAATTTCTCAACTAGACACGTTTTAAAAATTCTTATTAGATTTAGATTTTTAAATCAGCCATATTATTTATAAAAAAGAAGTAAACTATTATGTGATTTATATAACTTCTATGTTGATAAATATATTCACACACAATAGACATGTCACTAAACAAGCTATTAGATTATGGAGGTGTTTGGTATATGTCAAAAAATGTTTTTTCATGCAAATTATCAAATTGAGTCAAACTTCCCTCATACACTTGGTTATTTATTTTGTATACTATAAAATTACTTTTAAAATTATGATTTAGTTTCTATCTAAACATTTTTTATATGCAAAATTGTTGGCAAAAAAAAAAAAGATTATGTGCATAATCCGACTAAAAATCCACAAACAAATTGAACCAAATTGAATTTGCTCTTTTTTTTTTGCCATGGAATTTGCTCTGTTTGGTTTGATTATTTTGATGTTTTTGGTTCTTTTGTATTTTTATTTTGAGGCCATTTTAGTCAATTGCGCTCTTTTTTTTTGTCCACAGGTTAGATTTGTTTTAAATCTAAGAAATTTGAATTGAATAAACTAAATCCAAGTCTTTTCTTTTAGAAAATTATAAATGTATAAGTTGAATATGGTGTTAGACAATAAACAAGTTCTAGTTTTCTTTTCTAATTTTCTTTGTTGTACTTACGGTATTTTAATTTTCAAAATCACTAAAAAATAAAAAGTCTCCCTATTAAAATTTTTATTGCTCAAAGATACACACAAAAAAAAAAAGAGGTGTTCATAAGCAGGATTGGGCAGGACATAACCGTGCATCCGTGCCCACTGTCTAACCACTTTGGGCAGGGCAAGGGTTGGCCGAGCAAGGCAGGATGAGCTTTTCTATCCAAGTAGTAACATTCTACTCATATTATATGTAAAAAAATCTAATTATTTTTTTTTTGTAAGAGAAAATCTAATTATATTTTATAAGTATTATTGTGAATTTCAAGTGTATTTTATAATTTCATAATTTAAAATATTTCAAAATAAGCCTACATTTTCAATCTTAAAATATAAAAAATAATGTAAGCTAAAATTGGCACGGTTTAAATGTTTGTTGCCTATATATTGAGGTTATCGGTGTGTTTACGATAAATCTACTTATATTGGCCAAATAAACTATGATATATAGATTACATTGCATTTAAAAATATATACTTAAAAATTACCTTATGTGTATGAATATAAAATATGAAAATAAATTATTAAAATTGTGAATTAAAACTATCTTTGCTATTAACTCCTAACGCTTTTGTGAGAAAATAACAAAAATTCAATTGTGATTATCCTTACCCACAATTTGAGATTTGTAACCCCAATTGCCCGGTCTCAAGGTTCAATCAATTTGGTTAAATTGATGAGTAATGGTCGAATAATACACTCTCATAATTATTTGAAAAAAAAAAGAGATATCAATTCATTGTAGTCATGAGATATCAATTCATTGCAGTCATAGACAAATAAATAAACAAAAATTTGATATTATGAAAGAGTGTAAGCAACAAAAAAGAACAATTTTTCCGGGCAAAATAAAAAAGGAATAGTGATTGAAAAATAATATTATAATATATATAATTATATATTTTTTCAGGCAGGAGAGTATACCTTGCCTGCTGCTTTGCCCTACCCGTGATAAACCCGACCTAAAAATACCCATTTTTGTTTAGGCCTCTTTTTATTAGGCCAAGCTGAATATTTTTTCTGCAGATTTGGATGAGCATAACATGTATCTGGGCCTCATGAACACCCATACTAAGAAGTGATTGTTTAGCATCATAACTACATGCTATCATACACTCAAACACAACACATGTACACTTTTTGGAATATTTGGGTTAAAATCAAATTATGGTTCAAAAGTAATTTTATGATATATGAAGTGAGTATATGAGAGAAATTTTATCTCAATTTATATAAAAACACTTTCTCAAAATATTTGTTGCTGATTTCAAACACTCCCTGACTTACATGAAATTAAGAAATTCGATCCGCCAACCTCCTCAATCAGAGGACTATGTATGGCAATACCAACTGAGCTAAGGTTGGGCCAAGTTTAATGTTAATCAAATAGAAGTTAAAAGAAGTTTTGCGAAAACATAAAAAATCAAAGTAACTTGCCCTCTCTTATGAATTGATCCAGAGGCAGATTGATTAGAAAAATTCTGATAAATCATTTATTTACCCGGTGTGGAAATATATGATTAATTTACAAATTTACTAAATCAAAAATTGCTGATGTTTCAAAGGGGCCTTTTTTTTTTTACCAATTTCTTTAAATGAGTTTGAGTGAATGTAAATAATGCAACTTATAATAAACTGTACATTTTTTGAACTAATAATATAAGTACGGTTTTTTACTTTACATGTTCCTTTTTTATTTTTTGGCTGTCAAGTATGGTTGGTTATGCAAAGTTTGATAAATGAGCCATACATACACGATTCAATACTGATCACACACACCAATAAGAATTGGTTTAGTTAGTAATGAATCGACTCATAATTTATAAAGTTATGAGTTCGAATCCCAAAAAAAACTGATTACAGGCCAAATAAAAAAAATCGACAGTGACTAAAATTAAATTACAATAAGTAATATTTCACAGGGCACATTGGCATTAAGCGGGTCCGATAAATTTACTGACATTATAAATAATAACCAGCTTCCTTTTCCTCCTTGCGCTGAAAGATTAGGGCTTAGCAGCACTAGGAAGAAGAAAACAATGGCGCCGAAAACTGCCAGGGTCACCAGAAATCCTGAATTGATAAGGGGGGTTGGAAAGTTTTCGAGGTCGAAAATGTACCACAAGAGAGGTCTGTGGGCCATCAAGGCTAAGCACGGCGGCGTTTTTCCTCGTCACGATCCCAAACCCAAGCCCGAAGCTCCTGCGGAGAAGCCTCCTAAATTTTACCCTGCCGACGATGTGAAGAAGCCCCTTGTCAATAAGCACAAACCGAAACCTACTAAACTTAGGTGCCTATTGCTCTTCAACTCTTAATTTTTCTTTCGAAGTGCATTGCTGTTTTTTGTATGGAGGCTAAACTGGTATTGTTTGTGGGTTTCGTTTTGTTGTTTGATCTGATTTGGTAAAGTCGATTTGTTATCTATGCTGGAGCGCTTTTAATTTATGAGTTTTCTTTTTTGATTCGATGGTGTAGAGCGTAGTTGGGCAATCTCAATTTGAATTTAATTTTGGATCTGAAGTCAGTTGTGGCTAGGGACGGTCCTTCTTTATAGCAGACTGTAAATTGCGCGTTTTTTTAATAAACATTTCCGGTGAAATGATTTTATATTTGCCGTTTCTGTCTTTAGGGCCAGCATTACTCCCGGGACAGTATTGATACTTCTTGCTGGGAGATTCATGGGAAAGAGAGTAGTGTTTCTGAAGCAACTTCCTTCTGGACTGCTTCTTGTTACCGGTAAGTAATGTTTTCCTTCAGTTTAATGATTTTGTTGGTGGATGATACTTCACATGTTCTTATCACAATTTGGTTCTATTTTTGTCTATTATGTCTTCTCGTTTTAATTGTGATATATTATTTCCTTAAGCTGTACATGTGTCAATCTCAGACTCAACGCTGCCTTCTTGGCACGTTTTTGAATATATATAGTGTGCAGCAGTTCTATTTCCTTTTTTTTTCCCGGTGCAAAGTAGCAGTTCTATTTGTAATTACTTCTAGCTAATTGTTCGTTTTTCTATTTTATGTTTGCCCTGCCCTCAAAGTCAACTAATTTGTTTTCTCGTGTCTCTTCCTTGACATGTCAGGTCCATTCAAGATAAATGGAGTTCCTTTGAGGCGTGTAAGCCAGTCTTATGTAATTGGGACGTCCACCAAGGTAGATATCTCTGGTGTTGATGTGGAAAAGTTTGATGACAAATACTTCACCAAGCAAGCCGAGAAGAAGAAGAAAAAAGGAGAGGGAGAGTTCTTTGAGGCAGAGAAGGAGGTCTGTTGACAATCTTGCTCTCTCTGTACAATTTTACTCTCTGTGATTTCAATTGTCTGTGTTCTTATATCTATTTCTCTTTACCATTGTAGGAGAAAAATGTGATCCCACAGGAGAAAAAAGATGACCAGAAAGTAGTGGATGCAGCATTGATAAAAGCCATAGAGAGCGTTCCAGACTTGAAGGCTTATTTGGGTGCAAGGTTTTCTCTGAAGGCAGGCATGAAGCCTCATGAGCTTGTCTTCTAATCGGAGTCTTAGACTTAATTTTTGTTGTTCTGTTTTTGTTGAGCTAGGTCCGATTTGCTTTACTCTTCGGCCATTCTTCGATGTGGGACGACTGAAAAATTTGATTCTTTTTATAGTAGTCGAAGGATTTGTTTTCTTCAATTCTATACGTCTGATTAGTATGGATATCATAACAATTTTGGGTTTTCTGAGACGTCTAAAAGAGAGCTTATTTTGATCCATTTTTGGTCATCGTTCTAAATGAGCTGTTTTCCATTTTTGTTTTTTGGCAATTTAAGACAAGACCCTGTTCTAAACGAAGTTCGCTAGCCGTCGCATAAAAGAAGCGATGTGATTATTTTTCATCAAAAAGATGAGTGCGTGTTTGGTTTGCTATTTTTTCTCCCATTTGGATTATAATCACAAATCACTGTATAGCAATGAGATGGGAAATGATAAATCAGTTTAGGTGGAGTGAAAATTCTCTCTGATATATTTATGGTAATTAGAGAAGTAAATAAGCATTCTTTGCATTGATACAATGAGTTAAAATATTATTCCAGTTGGATTTGCAAAATGCAAATTTTTCTTCTGAAAATTGTTTTTTTTTTTTTTCATAATCTCCTTAATTTTTACCAAAATTCTTTATAATCTTTTTCTTTTAATTATTTGCAACAAAATTTATTGAAATAAAATCAAAATTATTTATTATTAATCCAAAATATCTTATATACCTAAATATAT